TGCAGTGGATCAGGGAGATTCCAGGAACAAAGCTTGTACTTTCCAGACACTGCACAACGTGTAAGTGTACACACCCCATCCCACTGTCTCCCTGTCCCTCGGTGATGTTGCTGGGGAGAGTTGATTTCACTGTTGTTCATGGGCTGTTTCTCCTGTTTAGCTGGACCCCATTGGAGGAATCGAACAGTGACATTTGTGCCTGTTGCCATGTGGGGAACTGTGGTAGCACAAAGGAGATCCTGTTTCCATCCAGAGGAAGGAGAGACCTTGGACCTGAAGGTGGTAGGTCATTGACCCTCTAGATGTTTTGGCTACAACATCCCCTCCCTGTCCCTGACTGAAATGTTTCTTCTTGCAGAGAGTGAAGCTGGATTGAAGTGGGAGGGTGAGGCCTCTCTTGGCCCCCTGCTCATTCTGGATCCTGAGTTGACCAGCCTGGCAACTGAACCCCTGACTGAGGTTGAGCAAACGATGCAGGAGAGGTCTCCAGGCGGTGAGTTGTCTGACTGCGAGTTTCCCTCTTTGTCTCTGTTTCCCTCAGTAACCATTGGCTTCTCCTTGTTGTGTAGGTGTGCAGTCTGAGCTGGTTGTGATGGTGGCCCTGACAGTGACAGCTGTCTCCCTGATCTCTGCTTCATTGATGGCCTTGTTCCTGTACAGGAAACACAAGCAGACTCAACTATTGTTGGAATAGTCCAATAAATCAGTGATTCCTTGTCCCTTTGTTTCTGGCAGCTGGTTTGTCTCTGCATCCTCACATATCAGTTGATATTCCTGGGGTTACATTCTGAACCCTGAAGAAACCTTCCTGAATGTGTTTTTCCTGAAGGTATTGTTTGGGTTTTGCTTCTTCCAGTGACTACAGGGGCTTGTAAACAACCCAAAACGGGAAGTCCGTTCCTGATGAGATCACTTCACACCGTTTCCCTGTATAATATGAACGCTAGTATAAACTGTCCTTAGTTTGCTCCAATTACATCATGGGGGTGGAGTTTGTGGACAAGGACACCTTGGTGTTCAGTGAGTGAGATGTTGATCAGACTGACCCTCCATGCTGTATCCCTGCCACTTTACCCAGCCTCTGGGCATGGGTTGCCTGGTGGCTCAGTGGTGAGCACTGCTGCATCACAGCACCAGGCACCTGGGTTCAATTCACCCTCCAGTGTCTGTGTGGTGTTTGCACATTATCCCTGTGTCTGTGTTTACACTGAGTGCTCAGTTTTCGCCCACAGCCCCAAGATGTGCAGGTCAGGGTGAATTGGCCATGTGGAATTGCCCCAGTGTCCAGGATGTGCAGGCCAAGTTGGTTAGCCATGGGGGATATAGGGTTACAAGGAGAGGGTAGAGGATAGGTCTGGGTAGGCTAGTCTTCACAGGGGTTCGGGCAGCAGTGTGGACTGGATGGGCCGATTGGACTGCTTCCACACTGCGGGAATTCTATGGGACAATTCAAACTAGTGAATGAGACAGATAGTGGGAGCTGCAGAATCTGAGATAACAAGGTGTAGAGCTGGATGAACACAGCAGGCCAAGTAGCATCAGAGGAGCAGGAGAGCTGACGTTTTGGGCCTCGACTCTTCATCAGAAATGGAGGGGGGAGGGGAAAGGGATTCTGAAATAAATAGAGAGGGGGAGGTGGATAGAGGAGAAGATAGGTGGATAGGAAACAGACAGGTCAAAGAGGCGGGGATGGCGCCAGTAAAGGTGAGTGTAGATGGGGAGTTGGGGAGGGGATATGTCAGTCCAGGGGGCGGGATGAGGTTATTATGTAGGAGATGGGGTTGTTGCTTGAGGTGGGGATAGGTGGGAGGAAGATCAGGTTAGGGAGGCGTGGACTAGGTCGGCTGGTTTTGGGATGCAGTAGTGGGAGGGGAGATTTTGAAGCTTGTCAAGTCCACATTGATACCATTGTACTGCAGGGTTCCAAAGCGGAATATGAGTTGCTGTCCATCTTCTCTGCTTGATGTGCAAAGTCTTCTTGGGGCCTGGGTTGGGGGTGAGGGAGAAGGTATGGGGACAGGTGTAGCACTTCCTGCAGTTGCAGGGACAAGTGCCGGGTGTGGTGGGGCTGGAGGGGAGTGTGGAGCAGACAAGGGAGTCACGGAGAGTGTGGTCCCTCCAGAAAGCAGATAAGGGTGGGGAGGGAAAGATGTTTTTGGTGGGGTCTGATTGCAGATGGCAGAAGTGTCGGAGGATGATGTGTTGGATCCGGAGGTTGGTGGGGTGGTATGTGAGGACGAGGGGGATTTTTTTTTTTTGCTTGTTGTTGTGCTGACAGGGTCTGAGGGATGAGTTGCGGTAAGTGAGGGAGACACGGTTGAGGGCGTTCTCGACCACTGAGTGGGGGACGTTGCGGTTCTTGTAAAACGAGGACATCTGAGATGTACGGGAGTGGAATGCCTCATCCTGGGAGCAGATGCGGCGGAGACAAAGGAATTGCGAATAGGGGATGGCATTTTTTTTTTTTTTTTTTT